AAAAACCTTAAAAATTCTAAGAGGTGTAGATAGGGTAAACAGAGGAAGGATATTCTTGATGAACAGTGTGGGGAGTCCAGAACCAGGGAGTCACAGCCGAAAGGTGACGTGGTCGGATTGAGATGCGGAGAAATGGCTTCACCCAGAGAGTGGGAAGTCTGTGGAATTCTCTGCCACAGATAGCAGTCAGGGACAGAACGTTGAACGTTATTCAGAAAGGAAATGGATAGAGTTCTTAAGGGCTAAAGGGGGAAAGCAGCGAACAAGGGACTGAGTTGGATGATCAGCCACAATCCCAATGATTGGGTGGGGCAGGCTGGAAGGGCCAAATGGCCTACTCCAGTTCCTATTTTTTGTGGTTCTATGTTAACAGGATGTAGAATCGAATAATCTGCCATGGTCATGTTGAATGGTAAAGCAGACTTGAAGCACTGAGTGCTCCTATATTCTAGGAGCCAAACTTTTGACGTAGCAAGCTTTAAGAAATAGATTGAACTCCTCGACTTTATTTACCCAGTTCCATTTTGCCTTTCTATGGTGTTTAATTCAGATAAATGAGAGATGTTACATTTTGGTAAGGCAGACCTGGCCAGGACTTTGACAGTTAATGGTAGTGCCCTGGAGAGTGGTACTGAACCTAAAGACTGAGGGACTCTGGTATATAGTTCCTTGAAAGTGGAGTTGCAGATAGACAGGGTGTTAAAGACGACGTTAGGCACGCTTGCCTTCATCAGTCAGAGCATTGAGTATAGGAGTTGGGACGTCATATTATGGCTATACAGGACATTGATGAGGCCATATTTAGAGTACTGTGTACAATTCAGTTTGCCCTGCTACAATTCAACTGCAAAGGGTGCAAAAAAATTTACAAAGATGTTACCAAGACTGGAAGTTTTGAGTTATAACAAGAGGATGGATAGGTTGGGACTTCTCTCTCCTGGGGTATAGGAGGTTGAGATGTGACCTCATGGAGATTTATACAATCATGAGGGGAATAGATAAGGTGAATAAAGCCAAGGTCTATTCCTTGAGTAGGGGAGTGTAATACTGGAGGGCATAGGTTTAAGGTCAGAGGGAAAAGGACCCAAGGGGAAATGTTTTCACACAGAGGCTGGTTTGTGTATGGAACAATCTGGCAGAGGAAATAGTGGAAATGGGTGCAATGACAACATTTAAAAGACATTTGGACAGGGAGACAGATAGGAAAAGTTTAGAGGTACGTGAACCAAACAGAGGCAAATGGGGCTAGTTCAGTTTGAGAAACCTGGTCAAAATGGGCATGTTGGGCCAAAGGCCTGTTTCCATGCTGAATACCTCTGTGACTCTATTATCCAAGGCTGCATCACGTGAGTCAAAAGTGTCGTCTTCAAGGATGAAGCACCAACTTTGAGCTGATCCCACCAGCAGTAGTCCCCGAGGCGATGGTTCAGTTACTCTTTGGGAGACTCACCTATCACTGTGATCTCTACTTCTTCACTGTGCAGAGGGCCTGTCACCTCATTTCTCACCGAGCAATGGTACATCCCTTTGTCCCTTCTGCTGATGCCTTCAATGTTGTAAACAAGCTTGGTACTGTTGGAATGTTCCCAGTACAGTTTCATGCTTGAGCCCTTGCAGAATTGGTAATAAATCGGCAGAGAACCATTGGAGACTGAACAGATTAAGAATCCTGCACCTCCTTCTATTAGCTTATTTCTGGGTTGAATTATTAGTTCTGGTTTTGACACTGGAATTCCTGCAAATATAGACAAAAGTTAGGTCTCTTCATTTGGCAGAGTTAATTGTAAACTCAACTATGTACCATGTCATAGTCACATCCATTCTCATGTCCTTTTTTTTCTATTCATTCATTAGATGTGCATGTCACTGGGTAGTCCAGCATTTATCACATGTCCCTAACAGCACAGACAGCAGTTGGAGGTTGTGGGGCAAGAGTCACATAGATTCTCTCTTCAATGGAATTCAAGTTCCTCCATCTGCCATGGCGAGATTCGAGCATAGGACATGATCTCAGTCTCCGAATTCATAGAACGTAGTACAGTACAGCACAAGAACACGCCCTTTGGCCCACCATGTCTGTGCCTGACCAAGATGCCATTCTATACTAATCACATCTGCCTGCACGTGGTTGCTATCTCTCTATTCCCTACTATTTCTTGTGTCTGTCTAAATGCCTCTTAAACATTGTACTCGTATGTGCTTCTACCATCTCCCCTGGCAACATGTGTCAGGCACCTATCTATCACTCTTTGTGTAAAAACCTTTCCTCACACATCTCCTCTAAACATTCTTTCTCTCACCTTAAAATTATGTCCCCCACCCCTAATAATAGACATTTCCACCCTGGGAGAAAGATTCAGACTATCCACCCTGCCCGTACCTCTCAGAATTTTATATGGTTCGATCAGATCATCCCTCAGCCTCCGATGCTCTCGCGAAAACAATCCAAGTATGTCCAACCTGTCCTTATAACTAATACTCTCCAGTCCAGGCACCATCCTGGTAAAACTCTTTTACACCCTCTCCAAAGCCTCCACATCCTTCCTATAACGTGGGGACCAGAACTGCACACAATACTCCAAATGTGGCAGAACTAAAGTCTTATGCAGCTGCAGCATGACTTGCCAGCTTTTATACTCAATGCCCCAACCAATTGAGGCAAACATGCCATAGGCCTTCTTTACTACCTTACCTCTCGTGTTGCCACTTTCAGGGAGCTATGCAATTGCACCCGAAGATCTCTTTGTATATCAATGTTCCTAAGGGTCCTTCCATTGACTGTATAATTTCCTTTAGCTGTTATCCACCCAAAAATACATCACCTCACACTAGTCCATGTTAAACTCCATCTGCCATTTCTCCACCCAAATGTCCAGCTGATCTATATTCTTCGATAATCTTCCTCACTATCCACAACACCACCCATTTTCAAGTCATCTGCAAACTTATTGATCAGACCACTTACATTTGCATCCATAACATTTACAATAGAGATCCCAGCGCTGATCTTTGCCTAACACGAACAGTCTCGTGCTCCCCTGTTCACTTTTTCAGCAATTACTTTGATCTGAAGAAATTAATCTTCTGGAAATATAATGTTTCCTAAAGCAACTTAAGATATCAAATCCAGTTTGGTCCTCATCTAACACAAGATCTAATCGAGTAGTATGGCAGATGTGATGGGCTGAATGGTCTAATTCTGGTCCTCTCTCTTCTGGACATCTCCAAAATTCTTGTTTTAAAAGAAGCAAAAGAGCTCAGCTCCCTCATATCTTCCATTTGAGAGGAAGTTCCAAAAATATGCCCTTCCTTGATGATGGAAGAGCCCAGAACACCAGTGTAGAAGATCAGCTTGAAACATTCACAACAAGGGGCGAATAACATTCACAACACTCAAATGGTGGGAAATGACCATCTCCAATGAGACAGAATCTAAACACTGCCCTGTAATATTCAATTGTATTACCAGCACTGAATCTGCACATTCTCAACATCCTGGCGGGAGAGGATATGGGGGCATGGGCTACCATCAACAGAGAATCTAATTAGTGACTCTTTACTTTCAATAGCATTACCAGCACTGATTACCTCCCCCTCCCCCCCCCCACCGTTAACATCCTAGGGGTTATCATTGACCAGAACCTGAACTGCAGTGAGTAACTCAACTCCTCACTCCCCCACAACCTGTCCACCATTGACAAGGCACATATCAGGACGATGTTGGAATATTCCCCACTTGCCTGGGTGGGCGCAGCTCCAACAACACTTGAGAAGCTCAACACCATTCAGGGACAAAGCAGCCCCTGCTTGATTGGAATATCCACAAGCATCCACTCCCTCCACCCCCAATGCTCATTAGCAGCAGTGTGTACTGTCTACAAGATGCAATACAGAAATTCACCAAAGATCCTCAGACAGCACCTTCCAAACTCATGTCCACTTCCATCCAGAAGGACAAGGGCAGCAGACACATGGGAACACCATCCCCTGTAACTTCCCCTCTGAGTCCCCCTCACCATCCTGTCTTGGAAATATAGATGCAGCCCTTCCGTTTTGATGGGATAACATTCAGAAATTTATTATTTAAGAGCACGGTGGGGTTAACTACTGTAAGTGGACGGCAGTGGTTCAAGAAGGGAACTCCATCCAAAACCTTCTTCAGGGGACAACTAAGGATAGGCAACAGATGCTATGCTCCGAAACCTTG